CCTCCTCCCTCTCTACAACTGGATTCTAGGAGTATGGCTCAGTGCTTAGCTGTGGTGCCTGCTTCTGCTCCATCAGCTACTGGATGAAGGCTCTAGGATGGCAACCAAGACAGTCATCAATCTCATTATAGGGGAAGGGCATCAAAGGCAGCCCCTCCTCTACTGCCTAGATTCTTAGTCAGGACCCTGTGGATCCCTGAACATTTCCCTAATGCAGACCTCGTTCTAAGCCTATACTGGCTCCCTCTATTCCTCCCGTCTCAGTCTTCCTGATTCCTCTCGTTCTCCTCCCCTCCTCCTCTATCGTCTTCTCGTTCTCCTCCCTCCCTCCTCTCTCTTATCCCCCCTGCTTCTGATTTGCTCAGGGGTTCTTGTCCCTTTCCCCTTATTCAGAAGACCATGTGTTTCTCCACATTTCTCCATGGTTCCTAGTTTATCTGGTGGTGTGGATGTTGGCTGGTAATCCTTTGCTCCATGTCTAATATCCATATATGAGTGAGTTCATACTATATTTGTCTTTCTGTGACTGGGTTACTTTCTTCCAGTTCCATCCATTTGCCTGTGAATTTCAAGATTCCATTTTTTTTCCCACTGAGTAGTACTCCACTGTGTAAATGTACCACATTTTCTCTATCCATTCTTCAGTTGAGGGGCATCTAGGTTGCTTCCAGGTTCTGGCTATTACAAACAACACTGCTATGAACATGGTTGAACAGATATCCTTGTTATATGAATGTGCTTCTTTTGGGTTTATGCCTAAGAGTGGAATTGCTGGATCTTGTGGAAGACTGATTCCCATTTTCTTGAGGAGTCGCCATACTGATTTCCACAGTGGCTGTACAAGTTGGCACTCCCACCAGCAGTGGAGGAGTGTTCCTCTTTCTCCGAATCCTCTCCAACATAAACTGTCATTGGTGTTTTTGATTTTATCCATTCTGACAGGAGTAAGATGGTATCTCAGAGTTGTTTTGAGTTGCATTTTCCTAATGGCTAAGGATGTTGAGCAATTTCATAAGTGTCTTTCAGCAATTTTAGATTCCTCTATTGAGAATTGTCTATTTAGTTCTGTACCCCACTTTTTAATTGAATTATTTGGTGTTTTGGAGACTAGCTTCTTGAGTTCATTGTAAATTTTCAGAAATCAGCCCTCTGTCAGACATGAGATTGGTGAATATCTTTTCCCAGTCTGTGGGCTGCTGTTTTGTCTTGCTGACTGTGTCCTTTGCCTACAGAAGCTTCTCGGTTTCAGGAGGTCCCATTTATCAATTGTTGACCTCAGTGTCTGTGCTACTGGTGTTATGTTCAGGAAGCAGTCTCCCGTACCAATTCGTTCAAGGGTACCTACCACATTCTCTTCTAAGAGGTTCAGTGTGGCTGGATTTATGTTGAGGTCTTTGATCCATTTGGACTTAAGTTTTGTGCATGGTGGTAGATATGGATCTATCTGCAATCTTCTACATGTCTGAATCCACTTTTGCCAACACCATTTGTTTATTCCATTGTATAACTTTAACTTCTTTGTCAAAAATCTGGTGTTCTTAGGTGTGTGGGTTATATCAGTGTCTTCAATTCAATTCCATTGGTCTACCTGTATGTTTTTGTGCCAATACCAAGCTGTTTTCAGGACTATAGCTCTATAATAGAGCTTGAAGTCAGGGATGTTGATGCCTCCGGAAGTTCCTTTATTGTACAGGGTTGTTTTGACTATCCTGGGTTTTTTGTTTTTTCCATATAAAGTTGAATATTGTTCTTTCAAGCTCTGTGAAGAACTATGTTGGGATTTTGATGGGAATTGCACTGAATCTGTAGATTGCTTTTGGCAAGATTGCCATTTTTACTATGTTGATCCTAACTATCCAAAAACATGGGAGATCTTTCCATTTTCTGATATCTTCTTTAATTTCTTTCTTTAAAGACTCAAAGTTCTTGCTATACAGGTCTTTCACTTGTTTGGTTAACATTACCCCAAGATATTTTATGTTGTTTGTGGCTGTTTTAAAGGGCAATGTTTCTCTGATTTCTTTCTCAGTCCATTTATTGTCTATATATAGTAGGGCTACTGATTTTTTTTTTTTTTTTTAGAGTTAATCTCGTATCCTGCCACTTTGCTGAAGGTATTTATCAGCTGTAGGAGTTCCCTGGTAGATTTTTTGGGGGTCACTTATGTAAACTACCATATCATAAGCAAATAGTGACAGTTTGACTTCTTCCTTTCCAGTTTGTATCCCCTTGATCTCCTTTTGTTGTCTTATTGCTCTAGCTAGAACTTCAAGGACAATATTGAAGAGATATGGAGAGAGTGGTCAGCCTTGTTTTGTTCCTGATTTTAGAGAAATGGCTTTGAGTGTCTCTCCATTTAGTTTGATGTTGGCTGTTGGTTTGGTGTATATTGCTTTTATCATGTTTAGATATGTTCCCATTATCCCTGATCTCTCCAAGCCCTTTACCATGAAGGGTGTTGAATTTTGTCAAAGGCTTTTTCAGTGTCTAGTGAGATGATCATGTGGTTTTTCTTTTTCAGATTGTTTATATGGTGGATTACCTTGATGGATTTTCATTTGTTGAACCATCCCTGCATCCCTAGGATGAAGCCTACTTGATCATGGTGGATGAGTTTTCTAATGTGTTCTTGGATTCGATTTGCCAGTATTTTGTTGAGTATTTTTGCATCAATATTCATGTAGTTTTCTTTCTAAGTTGTGTCTGTGTGGTTTGGGTACCAAGGTAATTGTAGCCTCATAAAAAGAGTTTGGCAATGTCCCTTCTGCTTTTATTGGGTGGAACAGCTAGTATCAGTATTAGCTGTTCCTTGAATTTCTGGTAGAATTCTGCACTAAAACCGTCTGGCCCTTGGCTTTATTTGGTTGGGAGACTTTTGATGACTGCTTCTCATTCATTAGGGGTTATAGGTCTATTTGAATTGCTTATCATTTTCCTCTTGCAGTTAGGGCTCACACCCAAGGCTTTGACAAGTGAGGCAAGCACCCTGTCACCCCAGGTGGCATTTTACATGTAAACATCCAGAGGTAGGAACCTACCTGGTCTAAGATGTCCCACAGTATCGGCTAAACTTCCTCTTTTTACTTTGGTAATGAAAGCACAGAGCCGGCCTGATTCAGTCATCTTTCCTCCCACTACCTGTTTAAAGGAGGGAAGGATCAAAATCATCACACTGTTAGAATGAGCACATCAAAGACCCAAGTGAAAAACACCAGGACAATTACAGATGCTACAACTGTAACGTAAGGTACTAAATTTCATCTTTTAGTATAGCATTGCTCTTTGGAATGGAGTGTTTGCATTAAGGAACCTTTTTTATTCCAAACTCGAAATTTAGTTTTCTTGGTGAAAATACACATATATTAGAATCAACTCAACAATTTCTTTCTTACTATAGAATTCTCATGTTTTATTTTTCAAAACATTAGAGCACTTTTCAAATATATAAACATTTTTAGTTATAAATTTTATATTCTAATACAAAATTTTTCATTAATTTTATTATGATATAATAGATTATTTTAAATAATAATCTTTTAGTTATTTTATAATATACATATTAACAATAGATCTTTCTTGAGACAATTGTAATTAAATCATCAGAAATAACACAAATTTAGACTATTTGAAGCCCAATGTCTCTAACTTTTAATTTCTATTAAAATATTTATTTTAGAAAAAGAAATACACATTTGAAACAAGCATTAGGAAAGCTGTAAAATCATGATAAAACACTAAACTCATAAAATTAACGCTTTGATTCTGGCCAGCCAGTATTCAAGCACTCCATATCAAATTCAGGTGAAGCAAACAAACGATAGTGACTAAATCCATTGACTAGAATAAATTGGTTTGTTGTCTTACAAAGTGAGTGAAAGATCACTGAAATTAAAAATTACTGAGCTATCTTATCTGATTCCTTACATATATTCCACAACTACGGTGAATTACTCAACTGCAGTTCAGTCAGTACTAACTAACATTATGTTTAACTCTGAAGGCTAAATGTAAATTCTGAAGGCTTCTCATCTTCATGCAAAAATTTCAAGAAAATTTAACAACAATAGCGCTGTGATGATTAGCATAATTACACTGTCAGTGGTGGTTATTACAAAACGCAGATACTATGCTAGACATTGTACTAACTACTGTATACTGCTATATTTTGTCTTATTTTAACAACTCAGTGTCCATGCTAAATTCTCCACTGTATAGACAGTACCTGGGCCTGTAAGAAGTTTAGAGAGAGCTACTCTGCCTTCCTTCTCGTCTATGATTTACCTTCCCAGTCTCTCGGTCTCCTGGCTGTGCACTCCTTCCTCCCACCTCTCCTCACGTGGCCTGGCTCAGGGCCGTGTTCACCCTGGACTCTCCCAGATGTCTCTGCCTCTGGCTATGCTCTCCCTCATATCTACAATAAACCTTCTCCTCCACCATTAAAAAATAAAATAGAAGAGTAACTACTCTAATTGAAGTCAAGTCCAGGCCTTTGCAATCACTATACCCACTGCTTTATCAGAGGCATTCTGAATTTCCATCCCGGCACTGTCGCCATCTCTCCACGGCCATGGAGGCCTCTAGGTGTGTAGACCTCGATGAGGAATAATCTGGTGAGTGGCAAACACTGTCACCATCCAGTCTCACCACACCGACTCTCTTAAATACCTCCATTTACTGTATTCTAGAGCACAATTTCTGCAGCAATGCCTTAACCTGAAACATTCACTCTTTCTGATCTCAGTTTTTCATTAGGTATATTACACATAAAAAAAATAATAATAACTAAAGGAACTGTATTTTGCGTATTTGCCAAATACTGTTCCATGGCCTTGCAGTTCAAATATAGACATTAATATTGTTGTCACCTAATGTAATTATTCAGGGATTCCCAGGTTTCGAATGGTATATTTGGGGATTGATATAACTCAGTTGTAGAGTGTTTGACTAGCATGCATAAGGGCTTCAGTTTAACCCTGACACCCCAAACCAATACAAACCTGTTTTCTCTAGCATACACATCTACACATACAAACACAACTTACTACATCAACACAAAATCATATTTTGATATAATACATATATTACATTTTCAAGTTTGCATACTAAAAAATTAAATAAAGCTATTAGTTTAATACTGATATAAACAGAGGCAAGATGAATAGTTTAAGCTCAAGTATATTCACTGTGTTTAGGATTCAAACTTTTTTTAACCAGGTTATTATCAACGTTTAAAAATGATTGTAAAACTACTGTTAAGGAATCTCAGAAAATAACCATGGTGTGTGTGTGTGTGTGTGTGTGTGTATTTGCAGGTGTGCATGTGTAAAGTGTGCCTGGAAATGAATGAGTGCTCAGATGTACATGTGTCTGAGTACGTATGCATGGGAGTGTGTGTGTGCAGTTGTTCATGTATAGAAGTGTGCACAGGTGTGTGCATTTGCATTTGTGCATGAATGTGCCTGGATATATATGTGTGTTTTCAGGCATACATCTGTTTGGCATGCATAGATTTGTGTGTGTTTGCAGGTATACATGTCTGTGTATGAGTGTGCACAGATGCTTGTGTGTTTACAGGTGCACATGTGTGTATATGGGCATGCATGGATGCTTGTGTGTTTGCAGGTATACATGTCTGTGTATGAGTGTGCACAGATGCTTGTGTGTTTACAGGTGCCCATGTGTGTATATGAGCATGCATGGATTCTTGTATGTTTACAGGTGTACATGTATGTATATGAGCGTGCATGGATGCTTGTGTGTTTACAGGTGCACATGTGTGTATATGGGCGTGCATGGATGCTTGTGTGTTTACAGGTGCACATGTGTGTATATGGGCGTGCATGGATGCTTGTGTGTTTACAGGTGCACATGTGTGTATATGGGCGTGCATGGATGCTTGTGTGTTTACAGGTGCACATGTGTACATAGTGTGAATGATATGTGTTTGCAGGTTTGCATGTGTATGAGTATGCATTCCTGTGTGTGCATTTGCATCAAGGCCTCCTCCGCTTAGGATTACAAGGATGCACCACCATGCCTGGCGCCACCATGCCTGGCTTTGTATGTGGGGTCTGTGATAGGAATCACATGGCAATCACTTTTCCTCCTGACTATCCATCTCCATGGAAACTTCCTGAAAATGCCTGAGAAGTGCGTTTACAGGAATGAGTGACAATGGTTTACAACTCTTGCAAATGGAAATTAAGATAGCCCTTAGATTGGCACAGGGAGAAAGTACTGTATTTGTTCTGTTGATAGATGACACTGAGCCAGATCCCATAAAGTATTCCATACCTTTAAGCCCAGCATTGCTCCTGAATCTCGAGGTACACTCCCATCTTTCAAACGCTTATTTAATAAAATTCGGCCAATTAGGCGATCTCCATCTTTAGATGGCTGCCAGGTCACAGGGTGCTGACATACAACATCAACAAATAAGAAAAAATAATTTTATGTCAAATAACCACGATTGCACAGTATCTCTAAACTCTACAGTTATAACGTGTTATGATTACACAAACCAATTTACATTCCAAATTACTGACTTTTAAGCACTTACTATATTCTTTTTATAAAGCCAATCTTATCAATTCAAGGTATTCTTTTAAATCCAATTATAGAAAACTCCGAGTTTTCTATACCACAATGCTAAAGGATAACAGCTCTGAAATTTTCTTTAAAATGTATGCTAACTCAACTTATTGAAGATTAATTAAAACCTCACAGGCAGAAAAGATACTAGAAACCTACTTAATAGATGTCACTAAAAAGTGACAATTTCTTCCTCAAACACTTTTGGAATTTCTTGAAATACTCTATCTTAGTAAAAGATAAAAGGGCAAGACATTAAAATGTGAAATCTAAACTCATAGTGAATATTAAAACTACAGTTCCCAAAACTACATAAATCCCCAATACCTGTCCACTTGAATCTGCATGGAAGAAACAGGATTTACTCAAAGGCAAACAGATTATGCTTCTCACTTTATAAAAATTCATTGATTATTTTAATGGGGTTTTGCTACATAATCCAGCCTTGCCTTGAGTTCACTATGTGGCTTGGGTGGGCTGGATATTGCTACGTAGCCTCTGCCAGTCTCTAAACCTTAGGGTTGCCCTGACTCAAGCTCAGCTTCTACAACGATGGCATTAAGGACATGGGCCACCACAGCTTGTGAAGAACCTACTGCTTTAGACTTTTTAATCTACTCAGCAAATTTCTTTCAATAGACAGACACTCAAAGACAATTATTGTTAAATAACAATAATGCTACCAGCTTGTGTCTTTCTTGGTTTAGAATTCTGGCTTTATAAGTGATGAACCATTTCATTATTAAGCAACAAAGTAAGTGATTTGTGTAATCATAGTACTTCCATGGTTACCTAAAGGGAGCATGCAGAACTCCATGCAAAATTTAGCAGGCAAAAGACAAGTTCCAGGCAATCACATCTACATGGTAAAAGATTAAACTTTTTCTGCTATACTAAAAGCAAATAAAATAATAAATATCAAAGCAGATGGCAATGAATCTAACACTAATTAATACTACATGCTATGGTAACAAAACAAAAGAACAAAGTGACAGTGAAAGGGAAAAAAGAAAAACAACTTTTTCTGTGCAAACAGACCCAATTATCTCCCTTTTGCCTGGGATTCAAACTGTTGATCATTTGATTTTCATCCCAAGGAAAATATAGGTAGACATCAAAATGAGCCAATCCAAAAAATACTTATTTATCGTTTATAACATTGCAACGTTCTCTCATTTGACTGTACACAAAAACATTCCTTTGTTCCTAAGTTTTATTTTCATTTACTTAGATTTTGCTATGCTGTCAATCAAGAGACACAGCAAAGCAAGCAAAAGGCTTTTTTGGCTTAGTGGTTTAGTTGTTTTGTTTTTCTTTTCTGCACCTTAAGAAATGCTACATTGACCCTTGAGATGCCCTGTCCTTCCGTTACGTCCTGTTTCAATGGGTGACAGAGAGCAAACGAAGGAAGACGGAATGAGCAGGCTAGAGACAGGGCTGCAGTCTCAGTACCTGAGCGCTATGGCCATGCTCCTCGTTAAGGGTGGTGCTACTACAGGTATCTACCCCAGAGTCCTTAATCTGAGGCTCAGACCATTCCAAATCCTCTTCCAAAGAGTGGCCACCAAAGTACATCCTTTTCTTTTGTCTCTCAGACCTGGTGTTAGAGTCCGACAGAACACCCTGCTCACTAGTTTTCCTTTTTCCCTTTTGACTGTCCCCTACAAGTGTGAGATAAAACAAAAGAAGATACAAAAAGAAAAAAGAAAACATGCAAAGGTGTAAATAAAAAAAGGAAAAGTGAAATGGTAACGGAGATTCAATAGTAAGGCTCCACATGTCTCACCAAAGACATTGGGGGTGCCTCACTGCTATGCCAAGACGCATGGTCCAACCAGCTGTAATCCACGTCTCCTGGGACAGCCGGGCAGGCAAGAGTGCAATAAAGGAGACAGTGGGAAAGGACAGACAGAGAATTATAAACATTTAAACTGTGGGAGCCTGTCTGCTTTCAAGAACTCTATTTGTAGTACTCATTAGATACCAGGAAAAAGCTATGATTCCAAATAGAATTCATAAAATGCAAAATATAAGGCTTTTGTAGTCCAGACGGACCAACAGAACAAAAGCCCTGCAATAATTCTTTAAAAATAGAATACTTTTGCTACCAATAAGCAAAAGTAGAAACAAAAACTATTGGATAAGCTCATCAAGACAAAGACTGGTCAGCTATGTCTGGTTTGAGCCCATTTATTTTTGCATGCTGGTCTAAAGCCATGAGTTTTTTTTTTTTTTTCTCAAGACTGATGAATGTTTGTAAATGAAACAGTAGCTCAGCAATGATACTATTTTAAATCCAAATAACTAAATATATTGTTCCTGGAATGACACATAATAATCTTTATAATGATGAAAACTCCTCAAAATCTTAAGTGGTTAAAAAAAATAGTTACACAACAGATTTTTCTGTGTAAATGATAAAAAAAAAGTTTCATTCTATATCTATCAGTAGAAAGGAAAAGTAAAATCATAAATTTTACTTATATAACATGACTTACTTAATATTACATTAAAACAACTTATTTTTTGAGAAATTACATTGCTACAGTTTTGACAATTTACATGATGGCAACTTATGATAAAAATCTATTTCCCCCATAGTAATATTTTTATTTACTTCTTATTTCCAAAGGGACTCTCTGTGGATCTACACACATATGAATACACATATTTTAAGCACTATGAGTATTTTCATTCATTTAAAAATATTTACTGAATACCTTCTTCTATAGTAGGCTATGCCCTAAGATAAGGGGTAGCACAGGAAGACATGTTTCCAACCGTGTGAGGAGAGACACAACAGATCAGTGTGTCACAGGAGAGAACCAAAGACTGGGAGAAAATGTGAACTCACCAAACACCTCTAAAGAAACTATTTTTAAGATGGGAGCTGAAAGATGAGATTTGGTGAACAAGTAAAGAAATAGACATATGGAAAAGAAAAGAAAGAACATTCCAGTAAGAAATAGTAACACCAGATTGTAAAAATGGAAAAAGAAATGGGGCAGGGAGGCACCAGCATAACTAAACAACAGGAATGAGGGAAGACACAGTGATATGCAGAAACGGGGATGCCTCACACAGCTCTGCTCAGGCTAACCCTTTTATGACCTAGGCTTCAAAAAGCTGAATATAAATGCTACGGAGACCAGGTTAGAAGAAACAAAAATTGAAACGTGTTTTCAATACCCTCGGGAAAAGATAAAGGTGAGCATGACCTACACAGAGGGGATGACAATAGCTCCCACAAGACGGAGACCGCTGAGACTTTTCAGTATCAAGAGGAACTGAAGAGTCAAGGTTAGCGTCAGGTTTCTAGTCAAAGCAACTGGACAAAGGAAAAGACGGTTTCTGCCGTGGCTAAACTACAGGAGGAACATTTCTGTTAGCGAAGATACAAGCAGTAAGTTATTTTATAGAAGCTGAAGTCGCATTGGCTATGGAATTCTTATTTCATAATAGCAAAATTATTTTTTAAGTATATCTTACAAGTTCTTAAGCAATGGTTGGCCTGGATCTAGCACTTGAATGGTCTATGAGGTATTGGAATGCGAGTGTCTGGAATAAAGATGCTTAAAGTCCCTAACATGGCAACAGCAGCGTCTGGAAACACGTTAGGAATACATGCATCAGGTACCACTCTAGACCCAAAGAATTAAAAAAGAATTGATGGGCCTGGTGATCTATTATAACAAGACTTCCAGGAAATGGGGATCTCACATAGAAATGTCTAGTGCCATGGCAATGGGATGCTGTAGTCCACAAGTGTCCTGGGCTATGTTCACAGCTCCCCTAAGACACCAACAAACACAGTCCGGAGACTGGAGACAATTCTCTTTAAAAGTTTGTTCAGGAAAACAAACTAAACTTTATTATCTAATACAGACAAAACAAAATGTATAGAAAGAACTTCATCCTTGGTGCTCCCTAAACAACTTTATCACACAGATAAAAAGAAATTAGAATTCCAGTAGCACATACTGACAGATGGAGGTGACCACACCATGGTATAATTAATCTCTGCTTGGGACTACTCAAGACCCTCAGTGTGTGTGTGTGTGTGTGTGTGTGTGTGTGTGGGTGTGTGTGTC